CCTTTTCTCAGATCCCAGTCCAGCCTTTGTTCCTTCATGATGCCAAAGTTGACATGCCCCCGGTCTGTCTCTGTAATAAAAACTAAGCTCCAGGATGTGGGGCTATTTCTCTGCTCAGGAGTCAATCGGACGCTAACAAGAGCGGTCATGAGCTCATAAGTGTACAAAGATGCTTCTACAGCCAGTGGAAAACTACCAGTCCAGTTCTCCCCACTCTGTTTGGACTCTGTCGTCCCTCCTCCCCCACCTTTACTCCTCCCATGCAGTTGAACTGGCGCAGAAGGTACACAACTGATGTCAGGGCCTAAAAGACATTTCTGGAGTCAGATTGTGGAGATTGGAGGCTGCAGAACTCTCTCTAGTCTATACTGCTGATGTCTTTAATGTGTCTTTCCTTGTTCCTGCCACTAACCCCTCACCCCATTCACTTCTTTTTATTTTTTTATTTTAGTGTATTATGGGGGTACAAGTGTTAAGGTCCGTTCACTTCTTTTATTTAAAAAATTGCTTCCACCAGGATTTTGTGACACAGTTTTCAGATTTACAGAAGACTTCTCTACCCCTTTTACAGACAAAGAAAATTCAAAACCCAAAGAAATCATTTGTGGGAGTCACCCTGAGGACTCTGAGACCTTTGTTCTTGGCATCCATCATCAAATGCCACTTTATGCATTTCTCTAAGGGAGAAATTAAAGGAAATTGTGCAGGCTCTGTCTCTCTAATTTAATTCCAAACTCTCTCATGCTGATATCTCCATTGTGTTGCTTCTTTCACAGGAAGGAGATTTGGAGCACCTAGAGCTTTGCTAAAGCAAAATAAGCACCCTCTGTGATTTTCTACTCATGATAATCCTCCATACCTGCTCCACACACTCACTCCCTGTCCAATTCTTAGCCAGACACAAAAACCTGCCAGTATTAGCTTTTGATGAGTTGGAGCTTCCTTCAAGGGAAAGAACATCATCAAGAATCTAAGTATAAACCAGCTCCCAGCATGGAGTGAAGGAGAGATTCCAAACTTTTCCAGGAGACAATGCCATCTCCTCCCCACCCTCACGTTCATGTCGTGAATATTGCTTGCATTCTTCTCAATAAAAGAGCTCAGCAGAGCTAATTCATTTCCACCACTCCTGTTTTCAGATGTCATTTGGGTCAAGTTTAAGCTTTTCTGGCTTTGGGCTAGAGTTCTAATGCCAGCTGTGCACTTATTGCATGCACTTTTTAGTAAAAACTGTGTTGCCACAAGGCATATCACTTCCTGCCTTGAGCCACCCTCCACTCTCATCTATCTCTGTACACAGGCTCTTTTTTTTAAAAAAAAGTTTAGTATTACTGATTTGGCAGAAGGAAGTATAAATGTTATGTCAACCTTAAACTATTTAATCTTGATAGATGAGTTGTCAGGGCAGTGTGACACTGATTGACAGATGTTAAATGGCACCTGCTGTTCCAAGCGATGCACAAACAGGACTCTGTGGTTCCAGGCAGGTGAAAACTCAACAACTGGGGATGGAGCTGTCTTTTCTGTCTTCCATGGAGCAGTCGAAGAGAGTGTGGTCAGTCTGTATCGGCCTGGGTTGGAAACGGGTCATATTATAAATGCTTCTGGATTACCAGGTCAGCAAAAGCACCTACATAGTTTGGGTCCCTTAAACTTCAAGTGAGAGATTAACCAGAGTGACCTGGGCTTCTCTGGATTACACAGGGCATTCGATGATGTCAGAGATTCTAAGCGGAGGAGGCTTGGGAAGAAAGTAGGAAAAGTTGAACATCTGTTCTCTGTAAAAAGAAAGAACAAGTCAAAACAAAAAAGAAAACCCACCCCAACTCCTTCCTTCCTGGTGGGCACCTCCGGATGTCTTTCTCTCATCCTGGCACTGGTAAGATTGAGAGGCCGAGTAGACAAACCAGTTGAAAGTGGCTAAGCAAGGGGTTTGTAACCTTGGACATTGGTATATTTGAAAAACACTGATGCCTGAACCCTACTTCCTGAGACTGTAGTAGAGTTGATGTTAAATGGGGCTGGACCTCCATATGCTTTTCTGAAGACCCCCCAGGGGATTCTAATGTGCAGCCAATGTTGACAACTTGAGGGCTTGGGTATCCCGCAAACCAATTGAGACTAAATACTGCTGGACTTCCACCTTTAAGAGAGCAAAATCAGTGTTTATTTCCCATGCACCACCATGGATTTTTAGGCTTCAAAAAAAAAAAAATCCTATTCGTGTCCCACAGTCAGGCCAGTGAGAAAATGGGACTTCACTCTGTGCATCACCCCTTCCTTTCTATCGCATTACAACCCCCAACCCCTACAACATGGGCTCCCCCAGGACTGAACTGGCTGGAAACAGGTGGAGATTGCCCAGGGAGAAGAGGCCACCCAGGGGGTCTGTCCTAATTCTCTACCCTAAATCTACCCTAAACCCTGTATCAGACCCAGAGCAAGCGCAGGAAATAAGGCTGGGTCTGAAGCCTTTGCAGAGGTGAAGGGAGAACATTCTAGGGAAACTGGGATTTTTCTTCTGTCCCTTGCAGACTTTAGATAACCCTTTTCTCAGGGTAATCTGTCTGGGAAAGTCTGCATGGAGGCCAAGTATAGGCTAAACTAGGAGCTCTTCATGTCCCAAGGCTATCGTTCGTGCTCTTTTTCTTGAGCAGTAAATAACTCTTGGCTTTGAAAAACATGCCCTGGTGACACGTTCATCATGGCCATGGGAGGAGCAGAGTCTGGATGTCTGAGTGCAGAACTTGGAGCTCCATGCCTAGTCTGACCCTCTCGACATAGATTCATTCCCTCATTGCGAAAAATGTTGGTGCCCGTGGCCTTGAGAGTGACCAAGGAAAGGACTCTTTGTCTTATAGTGGATTCCATGTGCTCCATCGAGTCCCCCTGTGCAGAGTTGATGCACCTGCCACCAGCTGCTGGGAATATTGGTATACTGACTTGTAGCCAGGTCCCTCAATGGCCATCGCCTTACACAGAAAGGAGCTGCATTGCCCAAGGTCACTTCCACTTTCTGGAGGCAGCCAATGGGTGGGATACAAACACCCAGCCTACTTTCCTCAATTTGGGACACGATGGCTTTAGAACCTCTTGAAGTATTGGGCAAGGCCTCAGTTGCAGCTGTGGTGTGGGTCAGCTTCTCCCTGTCCTCCACCCTCCCTCCCTCATTTCCTTCCATGTGCATCTCTTAAATGCAGTCTCTAGAAAGCTTTGCATATATCTCATATAACTAACTCCCCATCACAGGGGCTATTTCCAGGGCATATAACCTAGGTGACTTTGTCTTCATGGCCACCACTCCCTTTGAGATCAGGTTTGAGATGCATGATGTTAGCATCACCCTAGAAAAGTGATTTGCTTTGTGGGTAGAAGGAAAACATGTTTGTTAGGTGTAAGTCTGTGATGTACATTTTCCCTCCTGGCAGCTACAATCTTCCCAAGGCAGCTTTGGGAGGACCAGTGGGACCACCAAGGACAAAGCAACAGTGGCTCTAGAAACATACTCAGGGTGTAACTTGAGAGAAGATGGAAGAGGAATTCCAAATACCATGAAATGTGGCATGCTAAGGCTGCTGGAAGAAGATGGGTGTGAGATTAGCAGAGATATTGAGGGAAAGTTGGAAAAGGGACAAAAAGAGGATGACTTTCTTAAGAGATGAGAGATTTTTATTTAATTTCCTGGAATAGTTACTTTTAAACAGTTTACTAAAAAAATCTACCTCTGTTACTGCAAGAGCCTTTGTAATTTGAGAGCTGATGGCTTTTCAGGGGATGGGAGGGTGGCTGCAGATTTGTGCAGAGTTAAATCTCATGATGTGAGCATGCTACGAGAAGCCCCACCTGTGTGTACAATGTGCTTAAAGGATTAGAGCAAACTTTGAAATTATGATATGTTTTATCTAGACTAAGCACCTTACTCTTTAAGCTTCTATTTCCTTGAAGAAGGGGGGGAAGAAAACCATCAGTTCTCTTGGTAATCAGGTGCATAAGACACTCTGCCTGTGGGACTGAATGAAGGTTTAAGTGCAAGGGGATGACGGATGTGTTGTTTATATATTTTAACACATTAACAAAACATATTTTCCATACTTCTGATTCCAATTCAAAGTTGTCGCTTGCAAAGGTCTATTGTTCTGGATGAAGGTGACATTTTGGGGGAGATGCAGGAGCCAGAGGGCCCAGGGGAGTTGTAGTATGAGGGGCTAGTGGGACGTGAAAAGGGAATTTTTAAAGAAGTATTGCCATGGTTTCTGTGTTCCCTTCACGAAATGTCAGCAAGAAGACTCAGACTTGTGGGGGGAGGGAGGGAATGGGCATTTATTGAAACCTTAAAATCTGTACCCCCATAATATGCCGAAATAAAAAAAAGAAAAGAAATGTCAGCAAAACCAGGTGCACTAGTTCACTAGTTCACAAAACCAGGTGCACTAATCTCTGCACTTTGGGAGGCTGAGGCAGGAGGATTGCTTGAGGCCAGGAGTTTGAGACCACTCCAAGTAACCGTCTCTACTCCCCAAAATAAATAAAATTAGCTGAGCATGGTGGTGCACACCTGTAGTTTCAGTTACTTGGGAGGCTAGGTATGAGGATCACTTCAGCACAGGAGTTTGAAGTTGCAGTGAGCTATGATCATGCCACTGTACTCCAGTCAGGGAGACAGAGCAAGATTCTGTCTCTACAGGAAAAAAAAAGAAAGCAAAGAAAAGAAAGAAAGGAAAGAAAAGAAAAAGGAAAGAAAGAAAGGTATCCCTGGGATGGAGTAGGTAATTATCAAACTGAAGACAGAAGAAAAATCTTTTCCCTTCCCCACGTTTTACAAGGAATGGAGGACCGTGCACTTATGAAAGAGTGACCATCACTGGCTGCTGGCAAAACTGCTGCTTTTGCTCATTTGGTCATCAGAGGTTTTCAGGTGGATTGAGGGTGAGGGACATGGTAACTAGAAATATGTAAGTTAGTTAACATGCATTTTTAGGAAACTGAACATCACACTCAGGTCTGATAAAGACATAGATACTTTATTTTAAAAACACTCATATGTTGCAAAAAATACATAGAAAAATAAAGTTTGGTGGGGGCACTTTACTAAACTTCAAGTCACAGGCTTTTATGTACAGATCCAAGCAGGGTTGGTTATGCATGGTGAGAACTCAGATTAATTTATCAGACGGGACAGAAACAGGCTGTCTGGGTGAAATGGTTCAGTGCACTGTCCAGTTCATCTGTCAGATATAGGCTATTTCTTCAAATGGTTTTAGATATAGGTTCAGATATAGGTCAATGAGTGTTCCAACGGGGGAAAGCAAGATGGATTTACAAACCAAATAAATTTAAACAAAGACCTTTTTTTTTTGCAACACAATCTACATCACAGTAAAATGTTTAATTCTTACAGAATTGCAGATTGAAAGAATTAAATTCAGAGGTGGAGAAAGAAAAAGTACTGAGTAGAGACTGAGCACTGAACATTTATTTTAAAAGATGTGTAAAAAGGAGAAAGCAATTTAGGACACTCTGCCTTTTGTACTATCTAGTACTGTGGTGGGTGTCAGCAGCATGAGACATTGAACAGTAATTCAACACAGAGCCCAAACCATAGAAAAATGGGGTGAAAATGGCCAACTTTCTATTGACTGACCTTGGCAGTTTTGCCACCAACAGTAAATTTGCCCTTTTACTAGGAGAAAATTGGAAAGTTTCTCACTAAACAGAATTAAGCAGTGGGATCAAGAGACTTCCAGTCCTCGGGCTATCCCATTAGTAATTTTTTTGTTGCTGTTGTCTCCCCTCGACCAGGTCACCTGAGATAATAGAATGGACTTGGAAGGACAGCCAGATGTCTTCTTTGCTCTCTGCTCATTCTGATTGGGGACCCCTGATAGGCATGAAACACAGTTCCTGAAACATTTAGATAGTTTTTTGCTTTATTTTCTGATGGAAACCACGGTAATGTTGTGTTTTGAAACCATTTTCCTTTTCCTGTGAGCCTCTTCCTGAAAAGTGCTGTCAGCCCCTTCACTTGAACTAGGTAAGGCCTGGGCTGCGTTTTCTTCCCTGCCCATGCCCCAAGCCCTCTACTTCCACTAGAGACAGCTTAGTGACACCGGCCCTTCATTTGCACTGTGTTCTCCCTTCTATGTGAAAACCCCACACCTCTTACCTCCTCTGCCTGTCTGCAGAGATTCTCAAAGGTTGCCAGACTTTGATTGTAACAACAGAGCCACCAGAAAGTCGTATAAAAGCAGCAGTGACCTTCTGGAGCTGTCAGGTCTTTAAATAGGATTTGAGATTTAATGCCGTATATTTTTAAAGGAAAGAAATAAGAGTTGCTAGTTTGAAAAATGTGTGTCTTTTAGCCAATTCAGAATCTGCCCCCCTAATTTTTTTTTAACCTAGGAAAGATAAAGCTTTGGAGGAAAGAAAAAAAAGGGAAGACCAGATCTCAGGCTAAATAAGGAAGGTGAATATTAGGTGTAGCCAGACAAAAAGTCTTGACTGACATGAAGCCCTTTAGTGGGTGATTAATGTAGGAAAAAAAATAAATTAAAAATAAAAATAAAAGGGAAGGAAGAACCCATGGTAGAGAATTAAGTTATCTGTCATGATATAGTATGAATTATAGAGTATGGAATTATAGAGTATGAATTATGGAATATGAAACTCCAGGAAACGTTTGATTCTAAATTCTTCAGCCTAGGACACAACAAACAGTTCAGAAGAGGCCATTCTACCTTTTGCTAATTAAAATTGCAGTGGCCCCCAGCATTAGTGTGGAGACTCTAGTTAGGCCCCTGTCTTGCACATACAGAGATTCTTCTGGCATGACCCCACCTGTTGCAGTAGAGTTCTGTTTATACAGCTTGTCTTAAAACCACAGTGAGTGCATCTTGTTCTATTCGGGCCACCCTGTGAATACTTAAATTGGCATACTATTTTCAAAGGAAGCTGATATTTTCATCTCCTCCCACCCTGCTCTATCTCCCATGGCAATCTGTACCGAGCATAAGGGCTTCCTCTTTGAGACCCTCTGTTTCCCCTCTTTTACAGGGACAGAAAGAAACCTTGGCCATATTTCAAGGCCAATAAAAAGTTTAACTCAGCAGGTGACATCTGAGTCTTGGCTGTCCTTTCTCCCTCTAAGTTTGCCCTCTCAGAGTTGCTGCTCAGGTCTCCTAGAGGATGGAGCGCAGAAAAAGGATCCTCAGGAGCTGTTGGACCACTCATCCACAATCATACAGAGTGCTGGAGATGGCGCTTGATTTTCTCTCCCTTCAAACAGGTAGCCGAAAGCAAAAATGATCTACAGTATGCATCGGGGGAACTATTTAGATATTAAAACATTCACTGTCCTAGATCTGACATTGGCCCACTAGTGAGGACTCTGGGATTTCCACGCAAACCACCAACGGCTTTGGTCTGCACACCTCTGGCTCCCTGTTGCTACCTGATCTTGGCCCCTTTTCCTTTGTAGAGAGACCCCCTGTGCAAGGCAGTTTTTGATCATACGTGGTTGTCATCTGAGCTGGCATTACCAGAAAGCTGGGTTCCAGCTGCCCACACAGTAAAGGTAGGGGTAATAGGGGTAGCTGTTATACATGGTGACCAGGGAGGCTCGGGAGAAGCCCTCCTCTTTCAGGCCTGGCAAGGAGGGGTGCTGTTCCAAGTCTCCCAGATCAGAAGTGAGCTGCTTTCGCTTCGTCTTATAGCGTCTATTTTGGAACCATATTTTCACTTGGGTTTCAGTGAGCTTAAGGTTCTTGGCCAGGTGAGCCCTTTCCGGGGCTGATAGGTACTTCTGATGGCTGAACTTCCTCTCTAACTCGATCACCTGAGTGTGGGAGAAGGCAGCTCGGGAGCGCTTCTGCGGCTGCTTGGGGGTCTGGGGAAGGCTTGGTAAGGCGCCTGGAGTGTCTTCACAGTCCAATAGATAAGTCCCAAAGTGCCTATCTGTAAAGGAGAAGGAAGAAGGAGGGTTGGGAAGAAAAAAGTTACATGTTAGTGGGGAAGAGAGCAGAATTCAGTCCACCCTTATCTCTTTAGTGAGTGAACAAACAGCCCACTGTCATCTTGGATACATTTCACTTTTTTCACATGACTAAGGGACTCTCTGGAGTGAGCTAGGAGTAAATGTGTATGTGATGTATTCATTTTTCTAATAATCAGCAAGAACCCAAAGTTATAAGCGTTTAGTGGTTGAGCTTTCTGCCATATTACCCGGTAGAATTAAATGGAAACTGTATGTGTTTCCCCGAAAATAAGACCTACCCATAAAATAAGCCCTAGCAGGATTTCTGAGCATTTGTACAATAATAATCCCTACCCGGAAAATAAGACCTAGTGATGGGCGTAGCTACTCGTATCTGCACAACCCATGCATTTCCTCACTGAGTGGTAAAGAAGATGAGCAGCCCTTCTCATCTGCCCCATGAGAGCTCTATTGCTTAACATGAGAGATTGGGGCCAATGGTTCTAAAGAAAATAGAGTCGCAAGATATTCAGGATGGAATTCGGGGTTTGGAGAGTTATGATGATGTTCCAGAAGAAGACGACTTAACTATATTTGAATAAATGTAGATTGTTGTACCATACTTAAAACAAATAACACATCCCCTGAAAATAAGCCCTTTTATTTTCAGAGTGTCTTCTTGAGGAAAAATATAAGACCCTGTCTTATTTTCGGGGAAACACCGTAGATGTGTGTGCTGAGCAGAGGTGGCAGAAGGGCAGCAGGGAAGACACGGAGGAACGAGGTACCTGGCAGAGGCATCCGGTGTTAGCATCTGGGTAGGCAAGAGGCGGCTTGTGCCATGGGCGAGGCAAAGCCAAGCTTATGCCCAGCTTTAATCCCCCTTTCTCTAAACGAGGCATTAGGTTGCCTCATAAGAAGTGACAGGAAAGAAAATAAGGCTATACTAACTGTTCCTACGGTGTCATAGCTCCCCAACACCGAGGGGAACACCCAGATTCACTGTTTTACTGCCCATGGGATTGGGAAGCAAAAGGAAGTCTGCTGGTCAAACTAATTTGTTCGTATTAATGAGCTGTTATCAGTCCTGGCGACCGCGGACAGATGACGTGGGCTGGTGCAATGGAGGGTGGCCGGGGGTCGGGATTTTCATCTAGGCACAGTGAGAGACCCGGCTGCGCGCCGGCGTGGGAGCCCCGCGGAGCAGAGCGCACGGAGCTGGGCGGGTCACGCCGGTGTCACATCCTGCGCCGCCCTGACGCCGGAGCTCTGGAGAATCCTTGAGGCGCTCCGGTGACGGCGGGGGCGGGGAGGTCCCTCCGCCTGTCGCCGCGGGGCCCCGCGTCCCCGCATCCCGGCTCTGGGAGGCCCGCCTGGGACCCGTGCCATCCTCGGGCCCATCGCCCCTCCCGCGGAACCCAGCCCGGCCCGACCTCCCCGGCTCACCTGGCTCGGTCTCTGCCGGCATGTCGGCCTCCCCGGGCGCGGCGCGGGTCCCGGAGCTCAGCTCGTCCGTTGGCGTCCGGGCGCGGCCTCCTCCTTCGCCTGACTCTGGCTCTGGGTCGCACCTCGGATCAGGCTGGCGCGGGGGCCCCGGGTCCCGCAGGATGTCCTGGATGAGGAAGGAGGTGAGCGGCTTGGACTGGAGCGGCGGCGCGGCCCCGGGGCTGCCGCCGGCCGCCTCCGCCTCCCCGGGCCGCGGCTCGGGGACCCTGAGCATCCCGGCTGCTGTGCCCGCCGCGCCCGCATCACTTTCACTTTCCGCCGGCGGGCCACTTATAGCCCCGGGGGAAGCGCGCCGCGCCGCCTTCCCATTGGCCGCGGGGACCCGGCCCGCGCCGCGGATTGGCCGCCCAGCGCTCCAGGTGACCCGGCGGACAAGGCGCGTCCTTGGCACTGTCCGCGCGGCTCTCCTGCAGAGGATTCCTTCCCCGATTCCTCCTTGTCCTGTGGCTCGCCTCCCTGCGCCCTAAGCGTTTTCCCAGGCCGGGAGCGGAAACCGCAGCGGATCTCCGGAGCTCCAACCAACCCGCGGTAGAAGTGGAGACGCTTCTTCGGAATAATGATGCGGAAGAGAACTACTCCATTTAGCTCTTAAAGACTGTCAGAGAGCCTTTACTCACAGAGAAGCAGGCCAACCACTACCACCGCACCTTACAAATGAGACTTTTGGGTGCCCGGGATGAGGAGAGGTGGGTGGCACAGAGCTACTAAACCTGAGGCGCTCAGAGGCATGGATACTAGGTGCGGGGCTTGACCCTCAGCTGGATTCTGTAAGTTACTGGGACAGCTAACAAAACTGGAACAGGGACAATGAGTCAATGTTAAATCACTAAACATTGCACTGTGATTGCGTATGAGAATATGCTTGGGACACAAACGCCGAAGTATGTAGGGGCAAAGGCATGTGATGTGTGTAACTTACCTCCAAGAATGATATAGAAAAAATGATATTAGATTGATAAAGTGAATGGGTTGAATGTTAATTAGTAATCTGGAAAAAGTATATCCTATCCCTGCCAATGGGCCTCTTTCCCTCTGTTCCAAGACCTTTTATAAAGGTCTGACTCCCCCCACTCCAGCCCTGCATGCCAGCTTTCCCTGTAGGCCTCTCTGCTAGGCCAAGGAACTCAGGGCTTGGGAAACTTCGGTAGCAGATGATATCACTCAACCTCCTTCGGCCCCTCACCAATGCTTATCACCCAAGGAAAGCCATTGGGGAGATTTATTGGGCAATAGGCACTCAAGAGTATTTTGCTAAGGATGCCCTGATCACCTCCTCTCCATCCCCTCCATGGTTGCCGATTTCTAGAGCGCCCCAGGCTGCAGGGGGCTGCATCTGCAGAAGTTTTCCTGCCCTCTAACTGGGTGGCCACTGTCCTTCAGAGCCTGGTCTGCTCAACAGCTTAACAGGGGCTCTCGCCTGGGAGACACATTGGGGACTGTTTGTCTAGGGGAGGAGGCTCTGACCTTCCCACCCTGCCCTGAATGCCAGAAACAATTTGAGACCTTCCCTAGAGCCTGCTGTAAAGCTGAGCAGGTTGTTGTAGGCTCGTGGTGCCCCACAATGGTGATATCCAGGGTGGATGATCATCTGAGAAGGTGGCAGAGCCAATTTCTAGGCACAGGGTGGGTGCAGACCCCTGTGAGGTGATGGGCAAGGCACTGGGACTCTGCCTGTTCTTCCAGAGGGTTCTCCTGACCCCTGAGACTAGATGGGGCCTGGAGACCCAGAGAGCCTGGCTCACAGAGAAACTGCTTTCTCCCAGGACTACTGACTAGGGCTCCTTTATTTGGGACAGCACAGCTGTGAACCACTTGGGGGGGGGCGGTAAGTCAGCTCAAAGAGGAGTTTATATTTGGCCTGAGGCAGGTCCTGCCCCTGTGGCTCCTGGGCAGGCAGGGCCCTCCTGATGTTTTCAGAGCTCATAAGGGAGAAGGGAGGGCAGACCCTCTGGACCACCCTGCAGTAGTGCCCCTCTGCTGCCTGCAGTGCTTTGGGCAGGGACAAACCTTTCATCTGGTCATATACTTCTCCAGGCTCCCTTCCCCTCTGAAAGGGCTCCGGGGAGGAAAGAAGGGAGACTGAGAACAAACTGGAAGGTGTGGAACAAGGTATGGTGGAGAGAGGGCAGTGTCTAGAAACAGAGACATTGTGGCATTCCCACTTAAAAATTCATAGAATCAGATGGTATGAGGCCTTAGGCATCATTTTAGAAGTGGGAAAAACTAAGGTTCAGAGAATCTCAGTGGCTCATTTAAAATTACACGTTAGGGACCAAGTCAGAATGTTGGCCCATGTCTCTCAATGTGTAGGGCAGTTTGATTTTTGCCTTTTTTTTTTTTTTACTACAAAATATTTTAAATATATCCCCCATCAAAGCCAGCAGTCAGCTGATTGGTACCAGGAAAACTGACAGCGTGGCAGGTCTAGCATGGTAGTGCTTCCTCCCAGACCTCTGGACAGAATCAGGCTGGCTGGAGAGGGCTGGGGAAAGCTGGGGTGAGTGGGTGGCAGGGAGTGGTCCGGCCTAAGCAGGTGGTCTTGGGGATGAGGCTGGGGCTGGGGGGCCCAGACTCCAACTGCTGAGCTTGGCTTAAGGCCCCTGAGAAACCAGGGCCCAAGGGCATAGTAGGCCCAGCACATTCCCAATGGCTTCCTCCATTCAATGTGAGGATAGAAGCTGTTTGGTGTCATCTGAGATCTGAGCAGGAGGAAATGAGTGAGCAGGAGAAAGGAGAAAGGAGAAAAGACACCTGGCTGGTCTCCATGGACAGACTCTCCTACCCCTCTAGAGAGGGCTCAGTGTCGGCAGGAGGCTGGCCCATTTCATGTCCAACTGTTTTAGGGTGACCTGAGCTAGCATTGCACTCAGATTATGTGAAATAGGTCTGTCTAAACTAATGAAATCCAGCAATACTGAAATCCTCAGCATGGCACTAAAACAATAGTAGCTAATACTTACCTAATGCTTAGAATGTGTTGTTCAAAGCACTGTACTTGTACTAATTGATAGTATCAATTGATATATTAATTGATAGTATCATATCAGTTGATTATATTAATATCCATATTGATTGTATGTGCTGAAACTGTTGTCAGGGGACTACTGCAAACTGGAGGCTGGTGTGAGGCTGTTGCTGCCCTTGAGACAGTGAGAGAGAGAGAGAGAGAGAGAGAGAGAGAGAGAAAGAGTGTGTGCAGGGACTGGTAGTTATGAACTGGATTTCATGCACGGCATCCTCTGAGTATTTTGACTTTTCTGGGTAGAGCCAAGTCCTTCTCCTCTTACTGCCCCTCTGTGTCACTGCCCAGGTGCCACAGCTTGCAGTCCTGGGAGCAAGCCAACAACTGCATCCCAGCCTGGCCTGGCCTGCCCTATAGATAAGGCAAATTTTACATCAGGAGCATTTTACTCCATAGGGTAATGAAGCACAGAGGCCCCAAAGCTGCCCTGCCTCCCTTCTTCAGTGGATAAAAGATGCTGCTATGCTCTGGTTTCAGTCATCCGAAGTCTCCTCCACCTTAAGCCTTCTGCTATTTAGCTGGGTGGGCTAAGAAATTGTCTTGAATTTTTTGCTCATGCTGGTGTGAGTTGGGTTCCTGTTACTGCCAGAAAGTCTCATTGATAACAGTTGGTTTAACTAATTCCATTTTATCCACGATGAAATTGAAGCAGGAAGAGATGAAGTAACTTGCCCTCCATCATGAAGCTGGTCAGGGGTGGAGCTAAGCCAGAATCTAACAGATTCACTGAAGTCCTCAGCTCTGGATCAGCTAGGAGCCTCTGCTCTGTGTCAAGAACAGTTCAACATGAAGGGGCTGACCAGATCACTTTCCCTTCCAGGTGTTTGAGAGATCAGATGGAGGTAAAAAGGAAGGCAGAGTCACAGGCTAATCTATTAGCAATATTTGTTTCACCAGCTCTTCAGGCTTGGTTTCTAAACACAGTTATATTTTAGATACACAAATTCAACCCTGGACAGAGGATGTGTAAACAGGATTAGTGGGTTTCTATTCTGACTCTGATTTACAAACTGGGTGACCTAGGGTAAGTCCCTCAGTTTCCCTCGTTTCTTTAGCTGTGTGATAATATTTTCTCATATGGCAATTAAATGAGACAGTATTTATAAAGGACATTTGTGCATTGTAAAGCACCCCACTGATCTTGTAGCCACCTGCATCACCCATTGCCAACAAGAGTTGTTGTCTTTGGAGCCTTAATCTAACAATTCAGTGTCTTCTGTTCATTTTCAACTGTCAATATCCAGACGGGATGGTAAAGGGCTTGACCTGCAAAAGAACCTGAAACATTGCTCAAAGTCAAATGCAAAGGCTTTTGGTGGAATATCAAAGAATCTTGAGGAATTCCCTCTTGCCCACAGCGGGGAAACTGGAGGCAATGGTGTCCCCTGGTGGGACGTTTAAGTTCTGCAAGGAATGGCTGCCGGTTGCTCCCTAGGAGCTATTATCTTCAGCACTAATGTTCTTGGCATTATGTGTGATACTTCTATGTCATGAGTTCACAGGACTGATTTTGAATGTAGATGTCCCTGGGTGGAGATCAGAGCACATGGATGTCCCTTAGATCTTAACCATCTCAAACATCTGAAGGTGCTTTTTGGGCCAGACATATTCCTGAAAGCAGATGTTGGGTGCTGAATCATTAGCAGATATAGCCGCATGTTTAGGTAGTTAAAATAACATTAAGGAGCGGCAGCTGTAATGATTAGAAAATGACAACGGAATATAATGAAAAGCAAATGGATTTTGGAGGCTCAACTTCTTCCTCTACCCTTAATGCTAGTGATTCTGCATACGCTTCTTAATCTCTCTGAGCCTCAGTTTCCTTATCTGGGAACTTACTATGCTCCATTGGACCTTAGCATTTAGAGAGTGACTATGGCAATTAAATGATATAATACATATCAAGAACCAAGCACTAAGCATGGGCTCAATAAACATTGTTTTTGTCTACCCACTGACTAGACACCTCTGCAATCTAATTTCCCACTGCTTCTCTAATGGTTCAACTCCACTATATCATGATACAGATATTGATGGAACTCTCACTGCCTGTCTGTATTGCCCTGTTCTGAGCAAGAAAGTGGACAAAGGGAGAAGCAAAAAGACAACTGACAAGGGGTGGTGAGAAGGTAGAGCAACCAGAGCTTTTAAATATCCCTAGTGGGAATGTGAATTAACACAGCTGCTTTGGATAAATAGTTGAAT